AATTGATCCTTTTGAACTGTGTGTTGGAGAAGACTCTTGAGAGTTCCTTGGACTACAAGGAGATCCAACCAGTCCATCCTAAAGGAGATCAGTCCTGGGTGTTCATTAGAAGGACTGATGTTGAAGCTGAAACTCCAATACTTTGGCCACCTCATGTGAAGAGTTGACTCATTGGAAAAGACCCTGATGCTGGGAGGGATTGGGGGCAGGAGGAGAAGGGGACGACAGAGGATGAGATGGCTGGATGTCATCACCAACTCGATGGACATGGGTTTGAGTAAACTCCGGGAGTTGGTGATGGACAGGGAGGCCTGGTGTGCTGTGAGTCATGGGGTCGCAGAGTCGGACACAACTGAGCGACTGAACTGAACTGAAGGCTAAAGTCAATTAAATTGTTTTACAAACTCACAGCACTTCTTTTTTTAATAGTAATAATCATTTCTGTATTTACTTTTTACTTTTGGCTGTGCTGGGTCTTTATTGCTGCACAGGCTGTTTCTGGTTGCAGTGAGTGCGGGTTTACCCTCTTGTTGCAGTGTGTGGGTTTCATGTTGTGGCTTCTTTTGTTGTGGAGCACAGGCTCTAGGGCACTTGGGCTCAGTGGTTGCGCCAGCTTCGTTGCTCCGTGGCATGTGGCATCTTCCCAGGCCAGGGGTCAGACCTGTGTCCACCTGTCTCCAGGTGGAGTCTTAACCACTGGCCCACCAGGAAAGTTCTCATAGCATGACTTCCCTTACTCTTCATCATAAAATTCCTTGAATACTTTTGTGGGTTTTGCTCCTGAGTATAAATCTGAGAATCAACTGAAGTTTACAAAAATCAATAGCCTCCTTGGAATTTTGGGTGCAATTTAGTATTGTTTTTTTGTAGTGAGAAAAGCTCAGATTCAGAAAAGTTAATTCACCTGAGGATACATGACCAGTAAGAGGCATAATAGAGCTTCAGACCCCAAGCCCACACCAGTCTAGGAAGGGAATCGGGGCAGAACCACAGCATCCAAGGTCTGTCTCTCTGTGACCCCCCTCATATCTTGTTCACAATTCCCAAGCATCACCAACATTGCATTAGACCCCTTGGTTCCTGCAGGGCTAGCAAGGATTTTACTAAAGGGCATGCTGGCCCTTGGACTTTTATAAAGAAAAACAATCTTACTTTTTTTTCGTAATGCCCTACTCTGCCTGGAAACTGAGGAAGGTAGCGTTTAATCCCTCAACATTTCCAGTGTCAGTTGGCTTCCATTTTTAAGTGTTAAATCAACAAAACCAAGGATTTGTCAAATACTCTCCAAACACTAGGTCCCAGAATCAGACTTCTTCTGGCCCAGGCTGTCTGGGAGCTTTTAGAGGCTAATCCAAGGGCAATGAATAAAGCAGGAGGATATTCAACCTCGAATAGCTGCCTCGGTAGCTGCTGCCAAATGGTAACCAACATCCATCACTCTTGTTCACGAGCTCCTGAAAATCAAATGCGTTGAGGGGCAACTGGCAGCTTAATGTCTGTTCCTTCGAGAGTCACTGGGTGTATTGTAACCAGGTGAAGAGTTTGACAGCTTGGAGGTGTCTTGGGGCTGTGCTGTCTGAAAAAGGCCAAAGGTGGGCTTTTCCAGCCCTTGCGGGATCCTGGCTTTGTGCCAGAGAGCTGGGCTTCTGGGCACACGGACATGAGCTGAGCTGACTTCAGGGAAATCAGGCCAATGGGGCTTTCGATTTCCCTCCTCTCAGAAACACACAGGAATAAGAGCTTGCCTTCCAAATCGTCCAAGCAAGGGTAATGATTTACAGCAAAGCACCTTGTAACTGCTGCCCAAGACTGTCCTCAGAACCAGCACAGAGGGACTTCCTTGGTGGTCCAGTGGTTTAGAATCTGCCTGCCAATGCCGGGGATGTGGGTCAGTCCCCGGGAAGATCCCATATGTCTTGGGGCTGCACAAGGCCGTGCACCACAGTTAGTGATTCTGCACATCAGAGCCCGTGCTCTGCCACGAGAAGCCAGCGCAGTGAGAAGCCGGTGGACTGCACCTAGAGAGCAGCCTCCACGCGCTGCAATTAGAGAAAGCCAGGGCAACACAGTGACAACCCAGTGCAGCCAAAAATTTAAAAAAAAAACAAAAACACACAGCCTAGGAGGCCCGGAAGTGAGCCCCATGCCCTGACTGCATAGTTTGGGACTGTGAATTTCACTGAAGGAGGCGCTGATTTTGCCCTGGAGGCCACTTCTGTGCTGTTCGGCAGAAGGGAGTTCTGAGCCTAAGAGAAGCCCCCGCCTCACTCCCCCAGGATCAAAACCACCCGGAGCGCTCGAAGCGAAAGAGCTCGGAGGTCCACCTGACTCTGAAGATCAGCTCCTGACTGTGGCAACTTCAGGCAAATTGTCCAAGCGATGGGGCATCTCAGTTTCTTACTCCAAAAAATGGATGATAATACTATTCATGGGATTCATCTGAGGCTTAAAATGAGATCATATATGTGATACTGTCAAACGGATTTTGTGGGAATGTTATTAATAAAGATCGTAATGAAGTCTAGGCTCTCCCAACTCTCACTGTTAGAAAGTTCAGTCTGTAATCTTGGTGCTTCTTGGGGAGGTTTGCAGTCATGTTCTCGTTCCAGGAGGAGCGAGTCTGCTGTGCGTGATGTTCTCAGCTGTCCTCAGCTTATTTTTTCTCTGTCAGAGTATTTCAACCTCCTGTCTTTAAGCTGTTCCTCAAAGGCTTTATTTGCTTTAGTTCAGTTCAGTTCCGTTTAGTTGCTCAGCCGTGTCCGACTCTTTGCGATACCACGGACTGGAGCATAACAGGCCTCCCTGTCCATCACCAACTCCCGGAGTCTACCCAAACTTAAGTCCATTGAGTCGGTGATGCCATCCAACCATCTCATCCTCTATCGACTCCTTCTCCTTCTGCCCTCAATCTTTCCCAGCATCAGGATCTTTTCAAATGAGTCATCTTTTCACATGAGGTGGCCAAAGTATTGGAGTTTCAGCTTCAGCATCAGTCCTTCCAATGAACACTCAGGACTGATTCCCTTTAGGATGGACTGGTTGGATCTTCTTGCAGTCCAAGGGACTCTCAAGAGTCTTCTCCAACACCACAGTTTAAAAGCATCAATTCTTCTGCACTCAGCTTTATTTATAGTCCAACTCTCACATCCATACATGACTACTGGAAAAACCATAGCCTTGGCTAGATGGACCTTTGTTGGCAAAGTAATGTCTCTGCTTTTTAATATGCTGTCTAGGTGGGTCATAACTTTACCTGAACAGTTATTTCATTTTTCTCTTCGGGGGTTGGAGACTGACAGGAAAGTGAGTCTGGCTGTTGTGCATGTTTTGAGTTTCTGTTCGATTTTAGAACTCTTAGGCGTGCATGTGTGTATGTGTGTGTGCGCACATCAGGAGTGCGGTAGGGTGGTTCTCTTGCCTTCATAGTTGGTTATTTGTGTTTACCGACATCTCAAAGTTGATCTCTGTTTAACCTTCATTAAGTCATTCCACAGATATATATATATATATATGTATATTTCATAATTTTTAAGTTGATATGTTGTATTTCATTTTTATTCAATTCAAGAAATTATTTTTCTTTTTTCCTTTTTTTTTTTGGCTGTTTGGCATAAGGGTTCTTAGTTCCCTGACCAGGGATCTAACCTGCTCCCCCTGCAGTGGAAGCTCAGAGTCTTAACCAATGGACCATCAATGAAAGTGAAAGTCACTCAGTTGTGTCCAACTCTTTGCGACCCCATAGACTATACAGTCCATGGAATTCTCCAGGCTGGAATACTGGAGCGGGTAGCCTTTCCCTTCTCCAGGGGATCTTCCCCCCAGGGATCGAACCCAGGTCTGCCGCACTGCAGGTGGATTCTTTACCAGCTGAGCCACCAAGGAAGCCCAAGAATACTGGAGTGGGGAGCCTATCCTCCAGCGGATCTTCCTGACCCAGGAATCACACCGGGGTCTCCTGCACTGCAGGCGGATTCTTTACCAGCTGAGCTATCAGGGAAGCCCCTGGGCCACCAGAAACGTCTCTATATGTATTTTTAAAATTAAGCTCCGGTTCTGTGCCAGTGACTGCTCCAAGGGCCAGAGAGATGGTGACGATCTTCAGGATCGTTGTGTGCCCCGGAGAAGGGACAGTCCAGGGCAGAAGGCCGACAGTTGAACTAGTAACACCGTAACTGCAGGGGGTGCCACCCGCCCCACCCCCACCCCCAGCACCACCCCAGGAGTGGCCCCAGGGCAGGCGTGCGTGCAGGGAGGTCTCACCAGGAGAAGTGATGTTTGGGCTGAGATCTGGAGACGAGTGGAGGGAAGGGGAGTCTCTGGGGGCAGTATGCAGGCGGGCAGGAGGTCCTGGAGATGCAGACTCTGGTCCTCAGTTTCTCCTTAGTGATGGGCGCTGCTGCTTAACCTCTCTGGACCTCATTTCGTTCTCTGTAACAATAGTACCTGCCGGAAATGGCATCCCACTGCAGTATTCTTGCCTGGAGAATCCCATGGACGGAGGAGCCTGGTGGGCTACAAACCTGGTGGGTTGCAAAGAGTCGGATACGACTGAGCGACTTCACTTTCACTTTCACTAACAGGTGTTTGGACGATCAGAGGGACTAGTCTTTTGAAGACTGATGCTGGGAAAGATTGAAGGCAGGAGGAGAAGGGGATGACAGAGGATGAGATGGTTAGATAGCATCACCAACTCAATGGATATGAATTTGAGCAAGCTCTGGGAGATGGTGAAGGAAAGGGAAGCCTGGTGGGCCACAGTCCATGGGATCGCAAAGAGTCGGACACGACTTAGGGACTCAACAACAGCAATGTTCTTTTAAAGGGTTGAACTGTGCCCGAGGTAAAGGAAGCACTATATAAATGTTTGCAAAATAAAAAAGAAATCCACGCCTGTACAGTGTAATCTTGAGAGTTTATTTGTCTTCTGAGAGTGTTTTCCCCCCGCCTCTAAGAGCGCAGTAACATTTTTTTCTGACGTTTGGCATCGGTGTGTGTTTCAGGCGCTTTCCTGAGTCCCGGCCCCCCGCCCCGCTGGCCGTGTTCTGCGGTGGGTGCTCGCTGTCTGGGCGAGGAGCGCATCCCCAGCATGGACCTGGTCGCCTTGCTGAAGTCTCACTTCCTCTGCCACCTCATCTTCTGCTACGTCTTCATTGCCTCGGGGCTCATCATCAACACCATTCAGCTCTTCACGCTCCTTCTCTGGCCGGTTAACAAGCAGCTCTTTCGGAAGATCAACTGCCGGCTGTCCTACTGCGTCTCCAGCCGTAAGAGCCTTCCCTCTGTTCTCTGTGTGTGTGGCTGTTACTGTTAAGACTTTCTGTGCAGGTTAATAGGCTTGCAGTGTATGCTTAGATATCTTGTTTGTTTCTGTTTGCATTTTTGACAAAATGCAAAATGTCTATTTTTGTCCTCATTCTCAAGCTATTTTTTAAATGAGTAATTCCAACAGCACTGCCAAACGCCAAAATTCAACAGACATGGAGGGCTATCCTCTGAAAAGCAAATAGACATTCTGTCTCTGTTTCTTTAGGTTTCCTCCTCGGAAACAATCAGTGTTTGTTCTTCGGTTGCTCAGTCGTGTCCGACTCTTTGTGACCCCATGGACTACAGCACGCCAGACCTCCCTGTCCATCACCATTTCCTGGAGTTTGCTTAAGTTCATGCCCATTGAGTTGATGATACTGTCCAACCATCTCACTCTCTGTCACCCCCTTCTCCTCCTGCCCTCAATCTTTCCCAGCATCAGGGTCTATTCCAATGAGTTAGTGTTAGTGATTTCTTAGTTATCCTTACAGAAATAGCATATGTATGTGTATACATATGTTATTTCTATAAGGAAAGACATATGTATGTATGGTTCTTATGTTTGTACATGTAAGCAGGTGAGTCTGTATATGTATAGATACATAAGACATACACGTAGCTCAGTTCATGAACTCCTTATTGCCAAATTCAGACTTAAATTGAAGAAAGTAGAGAAAACCACTAGACTATTCAGGTATGACCTAAATTAAATCCCTTACGATTATACAGTGGAAGTGAGAAATAGATTTAAGGGACTAGATCTGATAGACAGAGTGCCTGATGAACTATGAATGGAGGTTCGTGACATTGTACAGGAGACAGGGATCAAGACCGTCCCGAAGAAAAAGAAATGCAAAAAAGTAAAATGGCTGTCTGAGGAGGCCTTACAAATAGCTGTGAAAAGAAGAGAAGTGAAAAGCAAAGGAGAAAAGGAAAGATACTCCCATTTGAATGCAGAGTTCCAAAGAATAGCAAGGAGAGATAAGAAAGCCTTCCTCAGTGATCAGTGCAAAGAAATAGAGGAAAGCAATAGAAAAGGAAAGACTAGATATCTCTTCAAGAAAATTAGAGATACCAAGGGAACATTTCATGCAAAAATGGGCTCAATAAAGGACAGAAATGGTATGGACCTAACAGAAACTGAAGATATTAAGAAGAGGTGGCAAGCATACACAGAAGAACTGTACCAAGAAGATCTTCACGACCCAGATAATCACAGTGGTGTGATCACTCACCTAGAGTCAGACATCCTGGAATGTGAAGTCAAGTGGGCCTTAGGAAGCATCACCATGAACAAAGCTAGTGGAAGTGATGGAATTCCAGTTGAGCTATTTCAAATCCTAAACAATGATGCTGTGAAAGTGCTGCACTCAGTATGCCAGCAAATATGGAAAACTCAGCAGTGGTCACAGGACTGGAAAAGGTCAGTTTTCATTTCAATCCCTAAGAAAGGCAATGCCAAAGAATGCTCAAATTACTGCACAATTGCACTCATCTCACACGCTAGTAAAGTAATACTCAAAATTCTCCAAGCCAGGCTTCAGCGATACATGAACTGTGAACTTCCAGATGTTCAAGCTGGTTTCATAAAAGGTAGAGAAACCAGAGATCAAATTGCCAACATCCTCTGGATCATCAAAAAAGCAAGAGAATTCCAGAAAAACATCTATGTCTTCTTTATTGACTATGCCAAAGCTTTTGACTGTGTGGATCACAATAAACTGGAAAATTCTTCAAGAGATGGGAATACCAGACCACCTGACCTGCCTCTTGAGAAACCTGTATGCAGGTCAGGAAGCAACAGCTAGAACTGGACATGGAACAACAGACTGGTTCCAAATAGGGAAAGGAGGACGTCAAGGCTGTATATTGTCACCCTGCTTATTTAACTTATATGCAGAGTACATCATGAGAAACGCTGGGTTGGATAAAGCACAAGCTGGAATCAAGATTGCCGGGAGAAATATCAATCACCTCAGATATGCAGATGACACCACCCTTATGGCAGAAAGTGAAGAGGAACTAGAGAGCCTCCTGATGAAAGTGAAAGAGGAGAGTGAAAAAGTTGGCTTAAAGCTCAACATTCAGAAAACTAAGATCATGGCATCCAGTCCCATCATTTCGTGGCAAATAGATGGGGAAACAGTGGGTGATTTTAATTTGGGGGGCTCCAAATCACTGCAGATGGTGACTGCAGCCATGAAATTAAAAGACGCTTACTCCTTGGAAGGAAAGTTATGACCAACCAAGACAGCATATTAAAAAGCAGAGACATTACTTTGCCAACAAAGGTCTGTCTCGTCAAGGCTATGGTTTTTCCAGTAGTCACATATGGATGTGAGAGTTGGAGTATAAAGAAAGCTGAGCGCCAAAGAATTGATACTGACAGTCCCTTGGACTGCAAAGAGATCCAACCAGTCCATCCTAAGGGAGATCAGTCCTGGGTGTTCATTGGAAGGACTGATGTTGAAGGTGAAACTCCAATACTTTGGCCACCTGATGTGAAGAGCTGACTCATTGGAAAAGACCCTGATGCTGGGAGGGATTGGGGGCAGGAGGAGAAGGGGACGACAGAGGATGAGATGGTTGGATGGTATCACTGACTCAATGGACATGGGTTTGGGTGGACTCTGGGAGTTGGTGATGGACAGGGAGGCCTAGTGTGCTGCGGTTCATGGGGTTGTAAAGAGTCAGACATGACTGAGCAACTGAACACATACTTTTTAAAACTAAATGCTGATATAATATATTGTTGGTCTTTCTTGGTTCTTCTCTTTAACTTTTTGAGATAATTGGTGCATAAATGATTGTAAGAGACAATACAGGGAGATCCCATGCACCCTTCAGCCAGTTTCCCCCAATGGTGACGTCTTGCACGTCTACAGTGTAACATGCCAATAAGAAAACTGACATTGACACAGTCCACCAACCTTATTCGGATTTCTCCTGTTTTATTTACATTCATGTCTCTGTGTGTGTGTGTGTGTGTGTGTGCGTGCGCATGTGTGATTATACTAGACTATTTTAAGCATGACTAATTCAACTGCCCTGAGTTTCAAAAATGAAAATGGTACAAGGTAAATCCAAGTACTGGGATGTCTGGAGATGAGTTTGGTGTTGATTGGCCAGAAATCGATACCTGTTCTCAATAGCACAGAATGCTGTGTCTATCATTACCAATTACATATATGAGTGTGAATATATTTTTTTAAATGAACTCTTTCAAATGAAGCAATTAAAAAATCTCAGCTACGTTTGATATGCCAAGAATTTCAAAATTACAGATATCGTTTTGGAACAGTTTCAATGAAGCAATCAGATTTTAATTTGAATCAAAATAATACAGGCTGCATACAGTTATCCAGATGGATTACTACTGATCCAATGAGCTATTTTTGAAACTTTAAGATAGGATCTTTTGAGAAAAAGAATAATAGCTACATCCTCATTTGTAATGTTGCATTGACTCAGAACTGTCTGATACTATTTCTAATGTGGTGTGTGTGCTAGACCTACTGTGTCTTTGGTTGGAGTGTTTTACATAAATGTCTTGAGCATGCTCATAAGATCATAAAGTTGCAGTTGCAAAAAATGTATGTTTAATCTTCATATCTATGGCCCATCGGGTTGTAGCCACCCATTCGATGCATTCATGCAAATTTGCTAGTCATGCATTTTACTCTGATACTGTTTATAGTATTGAAGCACTTACCATGGTACAGAAAAGGGAACAACCTTTCAGGGCAGGACAGAGGCAGCAGGAGAGATCAGAAACTGACTTGTAACTGAAGGGAAGAGTTTGCATAATCAAGAGAAGGAGATAATTGCCTCAGATTTACTTTATAATTTAAAATGTCTTTTTCCACTAAAGTGTCTATTTAACAAAAGTTGTTTAACAATGTTAATTGCACTTTTCATCAAAGCCTGCATTTATATGGTTTGCACACACCTACAGAGATTTAAAAATGTGTCAGTTTGCAATTGGGAATCATGTGTACTTGCATTGTTGTGACCTCTGTTGAAATCTCAGGTGGATGCTTAAGCATGACATTTTCATTTGGAGTTGAGAAATAAGAGATAAGCTTTGGAATGAGAGTTTCCAAGAGTCTCTGTTTTGCTTTTGGGAGGTAGTGGAGACATGCCAAGACAATATTCTTTATAAAATAGTTATTATTTATTTAATTTATGTATTTGGCTGCACTGGGCGGGTCTTAGATGCAGCACGTGAGAGCTCTGGTGGAGATTAAGATGGGGAACACATTCAGAAAGCAAGGTGAATTTCTCAACATGACAAATAATTATTTAGCATGATTCCGAATAACATGTAACCATCCCAGACCAATGGTGTTTCCCCACCCAGGGTGTCATGAATGGCCAGCAGTCTAATTTCACAACAGGGTCAGAAGGACATCGCCAGGTCCCTCCCGTCCCAGGATGTCTCCCCCGTGCTGTGTGCCTGCTGTCCCAGAGGAGAGCTTCCACGGGTTTGGACCGAGCAGATGCAGACGTCACCTGAAAAGGGAAGGGGGCATCTCTCTGGAGGAGCAGGTCTAGCTTTTGGGAAAGGAGAATGTGGTGGAAGGCAGGGAGGGTGATGCCTCTTGGGTTTGGCTGTGGGCACTCACTGTGGTGAGGAATTCCCCACCCCCTCCCCGCCCCGTCTTCTCCAGCATCTCCATTCCTGGCATCCCAGCATGTCTTCGATACAGAGCTGTTCTCTCTCTCTGAACTTGTCCTCTGTAGTTGATAGATCCTTGGAGTGTTTTGCAGCAACAACCAAGGATGTGTAAGAGACAGCCTGTTTGGGAAGCCTCCTCAGAGGCTGTAGTTCGTGGGCTATTGAACAGCTCAGAATAGAGGTGATCAGGTCCTCTCTGCTTGCTATCACTGTCCTCCTCTCCAGGTTAAGACAAAAACTCTTCATGTGGTTTAGTGAATCACTCTAAAGCTTAGAAAATCA